TTGGAAGTGGTGAAGACATTGGCAAGCATCAGTATGGAACTCTACACTTCTATGACAAGGTACCATTGCTACTATCTGCCTACAATACCTATTTTTTTGCAAATTAAAACCTACAATTGCCACTCCAGGCTATTGATCGTGTCTCTGTAAGAACTCCGATAACCCTGCAACGTTGTGGTGGCAACTTCTACAATGTAACAACTACGGAAGATCCTGTGATTGAGGAACTAGCTCAACAAGGCATTGGAAACGTCTTTGCCACGGATATAATCCTGGCAACGCTTATGACTGCAGCGAGATCGGTTAGTTTTGGAAAAAAAATGTGCTTCTTCTTATCGATATATCTTAGGTATACTCCTGGGATATTGTTGCCCATCGTGTTGGTGATAAGCTGTTTTTGGACAAGAGAGATACAGGTGGTATTTCAAATCCGGTGGATGCACTGACTGTGTCAGAAACTAGCGGTGATCCACCTTCATTTGAGGGACAAGGTATCAATAATGCTAAGGTACGTTACCAAGTACTTTCACTTGTTTCTAAATGTGGGCCTACCTGTGTATCGAAATTTGGAAATGATTAGCTTTATGCGTTTTATGTCATAATATGATATGGCAGCCATCATGAATTGAAAATCCCATGGTTTAGGATCTTGCCACTGAGGCATTGTTCATTAATCAGAACTTCCGTCGTCAAGTACTCAAACGCACCGAGAAGCCCTATGTGATGGCTCATCCACGTGCACCTTTCGAAGAAGAAGATGGGGAGTCTGGATGTGGATATCGGTTAGTTTCTTCTTTCTCTATACTGGCTTTGCCCTTTTTTAAGTTGGAAAATAATTTTTCCATTGAAACACTAAAAATTCGGTTTTTAGATATCGTAAATGGAATCTTGGAAAGAATGCAAACGGCAAACCAATTGAAGTTGTTTGTCGTACGGAGCACGATGGTGTCATGGTAAGTCTCATCCTTACACTAGATGTTATTCAAATAAACCTAAGTTCATTTATCGTTTTATTGAACGAGTGTGATTCCAGGCCGGTCCTTCTGGTGATGTGCAGTATCTGACAATCAAGTCCTTCAATGAATGGGATAGCTCACAATCAGGTGGTGTGGATTGGAGGTCAGTTGGAGCAATAATCTTTAGAATCATTTCGCTCTTATCTCAATCGTTTACAAACTTCCATATGAACTTTCAAGGGAAAAAAGTATTTAATTTCTATTTCATCATGCAGCTCATAATCTATCCTGCCATTGTATCCGGTCTGATGATTGAAGCTTTTCTAGTTCATACTATCAGATTCTCTTGCAGAGTAAAGCTGGATGGTCAGAAAGGAGCTGTTTTGGCTACTGAGATCAAAAACAACAGCTGTAAACTAGCCAAGTGGACTGTTCAGGTCAGACCCCAATTTATAATGAGAGCATCGCGAAGTGCTTAGGCCTTATATTTCTTACCACCATCACTTCATCTTATTATGTGCTTCAGGCTTTGCTTGCAAACTCTGATGCCATCAAGTTTGGTTACGTGTCGCGTATGTCTGTACGTAACAGTGCACAACATGTGATTCTTGGAACTCAACAGTTACGGCCAGTGGAGTTTGCGCAGAACATTTCGATGAATATGGATAATGGGTGGGGAATCTTGAGATGCATCATTGACAGGTTTGTTCCTTTCATTTTCATATTACCTTTTATCCGATATTCAAAGTTTTTGTTACATCTCTTCGTTCACCCTTCTTTATAGCTGCATGCGTCAACCCCAGGGAAAATATCTACTGATGAAAGATCCCCAGTCCCCTGTTGTGAGATTGTACTCTCTTCCCGAGGGCACGTTTGAAAGCGATCAAGACTCGAACGATGATCAAAATGGCGATTCGGACGACGACAGTTAAATTTTAAGTTGTTGATTTTCTTTTTTGCAAGCTTTGTTGGTTTTTATAACATGGGATACTTGCTAGAAATGTTCCGATGAACGGTTGAACTACATAAATCTCTATTTTTCCAAGGTATTAGTGAATTGAATTAATCTAAACATTCTCTAACACAAATACAATAAATATTTAATACAAGACAAAG